CATGTACAGAAACCGTCCAGATCTAAACTGCATTTAATAACTTTACAAATAATATTTTTCTTTAAATGAATTCAATATCTCTAAAATATTTTGCCACTAGTTCAGATTAGTGCCTTTACTTCACTTTGGCAATCGTTTTAAAAAGAGAAAAATGTACGACTACTATAAGGCACATGCTTCTGCCAAATGGCATATGTTACCATAAAGCTAACAGCCTTGATAGTGTGACAGGAAGCAGCAAAAGAGCTGATGCAGGGGTCTGTGTTCAGCTGGTGTTCCAGCATTTTTAAGGGAGACCTATTGTGCTCATTTCCAGCACCATATGTTTATTCTTACACTCTCCTAGAGCAGGTTTTTCTAATTGACTTTTCAAAATAATCCTCGGTGCAGCAGCTGAGTTCATCATCTGTCTGATTTGGGACATTTTAAGACATCCTCCCACTTTAAGGTCATCATCTCTTTAAGCCATCTTTCTTCTGATTGGCTGCCTCTCCCACCTGTGGATGGGGGTCATTGTGCTCTGGGTCAGAGTTAGAGTTAGTTAGTCAGAGCCTGAGATAAGAATATTAGGGATATTTGAATTCACTGATATCATGCAGAGCTGAAAAGAGACAAATATGAAGTATTTTGAAATCAAGCTTTTAGAGAAATCAGAACTTTGACCCATTTGACCCCATATTTGACATACACATCCATCGTTTTAACAAGGACAAACTTAAGGTCTCATTATATATTAAAAACGAGGTACAATTTTTGGCATTCATACTTGAAAACACAGAAAACTGTTGAATTTCTTGATCAGCTGTGGATTTTCTAAAGCTCTGAATTGTCATTATTTGAGGTGTATATTCTACACGTTGTGACATGAATGCATAAAATCATGTTGTGATATTATATGATGCAATTGTACAGTGTAGGAATAAAACATAATAACCACTTAGCTTTTAAATATGAAGTAAAAAAAGAAATTACTTCAACATATATTTTGTTACATGAAGTATTTTCATATGAGTGAATGTGAAGCATGGTTTGCTTTTTGGACATACGGATGAATTTTAGCCAGCATGCAAAGGATGAACATAGCTTTTAGTTTTGAAAAGTGGAAGTCTTAATCCTGTGAAAGACCTTATAAAATATTTAAAAGAAACCTAAGTAAACCTATGTACTAAGCACTTTGTCCACATGAGATTAAGTGTATCTAAGTGATGCAGACTGGGCTAAAAGATGAACTTCCCAGTGCTCTAGTGAGAATTTGCAGGCAGAGAGCTGTTGGAATACTCTCAACACGAGGCGAACTAACTAGATTTTCATTAGCTTGCAATAGTATTCAAGTTTATTATCAAAATTTAGCTAAAAATGCTATAAATAAACAGAAACAGCAACTCCTAACTACTATCCCAAGTTCACAGATGTGAAGAACATGATTATTATTCATTTTTAAACTACAGAAGAGCACTTTCAGGCTTAAAATTGTTAGCTCCGGGCTATGGATGATATTACACTCATTATCAAGGATTTCCAAGTTGCCAAAATGCGTTACAATTTCTGCAGTGTGTTATTTTATACACACACAACTACAACGTGTATGTTCACAGGTGCATTGTTCAGTAACATATTTATGTCTTAGTCGTATTACAGATCTGTCACTCATTGCTTGGACAACCTAAAAATAAAGAGGGCTCTGCACTCACACAAAGAACGTAGCTAACTGAGAGTTTGCTGCTTGAATGCAGTGTGAAACATCTTCCAGCACAGTGTCTGGTTTTTAGCAGGGTGTTGGCACTGGGGGAACAAATATAAACTGGCACAGGACCATGTATGGCTTCTATAGTCAACTGTATCTTTAACATGTGGCCTTGGATAAGTATGGGATAGAAATCGGCTTTAGTTAGCAGCATTAAGTTTAGCTTTGAGCCATTGTCAGCTAGGTGCATCATTTATCATCAGCCTGACATCCAAGTGTCCTAGAACACGGCCTGTATTGGGTCAAGGCATTTTGGCCATTTGGGATCATTTGCACTGCCACCCTCCATTTTGAGCAGATTTTATTTATATTATGAACCAGGGCAGAAACAAGCGAATATGCTGCCATCATTTCCCAATAATGGTAGGAATTGTCAATAAATAGTTGAATTTTCAGGGTTTTTTGTGTGTGAATGTTTTATATTTCATCTCACAGATGTAGACTAAATTTTATAATAGCAAATTAGTTATGAATCCATCTTTAAATTATATATCAACATGTTGTACATAAATATAGCAGAAAACAATCATTTGCTATGTGAAGACATGGCGTTAATAGAGATTACACACCCATTCTGTATTTGTTGTAATCTAAGCTTTAGTGTTGCATGTTTTAGGTTTTAGTGTACCAATGTATCATGTGTTTACCATGAAAGTGCATGGCAGCACCTTCTCTTGAGACTGCCGGCACTCCTCACATTCATGATGTGAATAAATCAATTTTATTTTCACTGCACTGCAGCTCTGAAAGTTTGCAGACATTATCAGACATTCACGGCGCAGAGCTATATGTAAGAACGCAAATGTCCAATTTAGATGGATGGAACATTAAATGGACCTTACTCTGCATAGGCAGGATAGAATAGAAAGCACAAGTCGCTACAAGAAGACTAACTAGTAGAAATCTTATAAGAGGATGGGGCTGGGCATGGAGGACCGATGGGGTAGTGGATAGTCAGTTTGGGAAGGCTGGGGAGGGATTCTGGGTGGAAGTTTAAGCGGCACCTCCCTTTGGCAGTGGAGCAGCACTCTTACTAGTCCATGCAACCCTGAGGGTGAGGATGTACACAATGCTTTTGTCGGACAAGAAAGGAATTTCACTTCACGCCGGCACTCCTCACATCCATGAAGTGAATAAATCAATTTTATTTTCGCTGCACTGCAGCTCTGAAAGTTTGCAGACATTATCAAACATTCACGGGGCGGATCGCAAATATCCAATTTAGATCTATGTCCATATACCATTTGCATGGTCACTTTTACAGTGTCTGATTTATCTCATGTGACAAAAATAGTAGAATGCTATGTTTAGTGTGTCCTGTATAATCTACCCATCGCATAAACCAAACTGGAGTATTTCCACTGGTGAGAAAGTGTTTCACAATGACAATCTCCAGGTATTCAAATTGGATTTGCCAAATTTTGTGTGAGGTTCATGAGAGAAAACAACTAAAGAGTGACACCCCGTGAAGCCAAAACAAAAATAAGAGCAGTCAAAATTAGTGCGGTTTTTCAGAGATGAAGCTGCAACACTCAGACAGAAATAGTACAAAAAAATAACATTTAAAACATACAGTTACAAAGGGTTTCACAATCTGGATATTTATTTATAGCATTTATTCTTACATGCCTGCTTAAATGCAAACAAACGTGCACGGCACACGTCCAGTCAACCCGATGGGCTAAAACACAAAAACCAGAGGTGCTAAAATCTCCAATCTGTGTGCTCGATTTAAAATAAGTGCATGAAACACTTCAAAGGTGAATCAACAAGGCCGACTGCTATAATATTTAAGCAGGGGCCAGCACATGCAATGCTCTGAATGTGATTAATGCAATTTGTAGACAGTTTATTGTAGACTTTAATGTACAATATCAATATACTGACTGTGCTCAGAAATTAGGTCAAATATTAATTGTACTCTTAGTTATTAACTGTTTATTTCAGTTAAAGAAAACACATTCAATACATTTGGAAAAGTCTCATTCTGAGTCTTTCTTGTATGTCATAGGCAGGCTGGTGCAGAGGTTAAAACTGTTGCTTGCCACTGGGGTGTGGTTTTCTCCCACAGCGTAAAGACTCATATTTTAGGTTAAGTGGCGATTAGAAATTATCCCTTACATGCAGATGTGAGACAGATGAAGCTTTGACTGGTCAGTATGGCTAGAAAAGTGCAATACAAATGCAACTCCGTCTCCAAAATGTACGAACGAATAATAATAAAACAATATTTTAAAAAGTTATTGACTATCCCTGTACCCAAGGGTTACATCTTACACCTTTTATTGAAAGGACACTATTTGTACAGTTCCATTGAGTTATAAAAATATCACCAGTGTTACGACAGACCACAAGGGTGAGCCCATCAATGCTACAATGTCAGTATATTGTCACAGACGTGACACGATGATGTACTGCTAAAGCTTTGCTGTTTTGGTTTTTGAGGTGCTGGTGCTCTAGTGTAGTGTCCAGCAATTATAAATTTTGTATATAGTACATTTCATGTGTTCCAGTGCTCAGTAACTGGGAACCACTGGGCAACCAGTGCTGGTTCTGCTCCTGTAAATGAGTACAAACAAAACTGTGAATGGCTTTGAGCAGGTTACAACACTTCCTCATCAGTGAGTGGATCTCTGGGACGGCACGATGTCCCATCACTCCTCCGAATGAGGGATCCCTCAGAGTGCAGCATGCCACAGTTGGCACAGGAAGGCCTGAGCCCAGCACATTTAATTAGCCAAGCTGTCTTGGCATTGGATGGGAGGGGGACACACACACAGTGACGAGTCATCAACATCACCAAGGGTGCGGTACTGCTCGCTGCCATACTGCACATCTAAAACTTAATGGCAAAGGGACGCATGGGTATCAATACAAACAAAATATGGGAAAACTGGGAAAGATAGAGCGGTAATTGCAAATCGGTTTAGCAATGCAGCAAACTTCAGCACAAGCAGTGTCTGACCTTTCCTGCAGAAACATAAAAGGTGTGGCTCCTTCAACATTTAGTGCATTAAACACTTGTGGCAGTGGGAGACAGACCTCACACTCCTTAAGTCTGTACTTATCATTCAAGCCTATAAGCAGCACTGAATGAAAAAAAAAAAAGAGTGTTGCTATGAAAAAAAAAAAGGAAAGTTAGGAGAAACAGTTTGGAAGAAACCATTCTGACATCCCTTTTCTCTAGCTCCCTGCATGTGAGGAGCCCACCCCACCTCAGCTGTAGTGAGGAGAGCCCAGTCCAGGCAGCCAGCAACCAGCGCGTCTCTGCCTACCAATAGGCATGCTCGGCTCAGGCTCTGTGCAGTGCTCTCAGTCTCAGCAGCTGAAGCTGGGCGCAGGGGAACTGCAACGGCGGCGCCAAGCATCTTCCCAGGTATGCGTCTCTCTGTTGCTACGCCCTTATTCTGTTTTTGCAGTGTTATGGCATCCTTGCAGCACGCTGGTTCCCGCTTTGCCGACACTAGTAGATTTCTAGGGAGGGGTTGCTTGTCCTTTTTTTTTCTTTTTCTATTTTTTGTGTGTGTGGCTCACGTAGCCTTCGTGGTAGCGCAGGGCAGCGGGTCTTGGTAAACACTCGCATCTGCAAAACCTCCTCGTTAACCGCGCGTCAACTTGCACACACCTCAAAATGTTCGCCCTTCGACAGAACAGCGCCGAGCCGCCGCTGGTGCTGGCAGCGAGGCGGGGATGTGCGCTCCCTGCTTTACTGCGTGCATTTCTCGGGGAATTTTTTGCAATGGGGTTATAATTTGGCCAAGCGGCTTTCGTCAAAACATGACCGCTGACTATATATTCAACTCAAGGTGCGTGCAGGTGGAGGATTTTTACCCCCCCCCCTTCCTATCTCTGGAAGGCGCTGGACTTGCGGCACTGGGTGAAGCAGGTAGCCTACTGGGAGCTGATTTGAAAAATCATTTCATAGCAGTCAATTTTATGTAGGCTGTGCCATATAACGCTGCAGTAGGCTATAGCAGGGCTATAATAGGTCATGCTGTATGCATAATGCACAATGCATCCGTCTATCTATCACAACCTTGATATTTTATTGATAACTGTGTGTTATGATAAAACGGCTCTATTTTAATCATGATTCATTCATACAGTGAGTTATCCAGGGAGAATGATGGTGAGGGAGATGTTTTTTTCCCCGGAGAATCTGATGGACATAGTTATCACAGGGTGCTCTTAATTGCAAACGTGCTGAACTTGTGTTTTGAATGAGTTTGCATAGGCTAAGCAGTTTTTTTTAATGATTAGGCTGATCTGTGGCGCTGTGTTTTCCCTGTCACTAGGTAAGATGTAGGTACACTCCCTTAGCAGTTAGGGTGGTGCTGCCTGCTAGTGCTGATGCGTTACAGTAACCACTACCTGTGCATGCAGTCTTCCAGGCCTGGCTGCACACCGAGGGGTGGTGGTGGCGGGTGGAGGGGTGTTCCTGGAGGATTTTTAGGTGGGAGGGTGGTCAGTGAGATTGGATTTATTAAGTTAGAAGTGAATTCATGCACCAGCCTCCAAGTTAAAGTTGTGTTTTTCAGACAGTGAAGTTATCAACAGACAGTCCTCACATAAAAATTGTTCAATGTTTCCAAAAGCAGAAAAAGGACTTCTCTCGTTATCAGCTAACGAATGACCCTCAGCAGCAACTTTTACATTAGCTGACCTTACTTTTTCATCTTCCTGGCACAAACCTTTCATACCCATTGGTGTATCAGTGATGTTTATGTTAAAAAATATATCTTTGTTGTGATTATTAATCATAGTTTTGTTGTTGCTATGCAAAAAAAAGTCTCGTGCCATATTTCCACTGCAATCATTTGGAGCTGTGACCTTGTCAAAAAAGAGCCACCATGTGTCTAGCTCGCTCTGGTTCTCTCTGATAAAACTCTGTGTTAAAGGAAGCTACTTTTCTATATCAGCCCGTCCTCACGGATCTGGATTTGGCTGATTCAAGAAGCTCTCGAGTTGATTTTTGCTGCATTAACCACACTACCTATTCGCTCCACTTGAAGAGCCAGTAATAGTTGGAGGACTTTTACATCAGAATAGATTTCAGCATGCTGATTTTGAATGTTATTTTGGGCTCTGTTTAGCCTTGTTTAGTCAGTGAAGTTTCAATGACATTAATAAATTGGCTAATCAATTTTCACTCCTGTTGTCCTTGAAAATATGGTCCCATACAGTGTGGTTTTAAAGTGGGGATTTCCTGCTGGGCTCTTTGCATCTGGACAGCATTAATTATCCCGCAGGATTTGGGCTGATATGAAGCATTACACTGAATAGTACAGTATAAAATAAGCTCCCACACCAGGGGTAACTCCTAACTGCAAAGTGGACAAAGTTATGGAGGGAAAATGTTAAGGTCACATTAAGGTCAAGAGGAAAAAAGAGGAAAAGAAGAATTTTCCAAATGATTTGAATGCAGTGATTCTTTATGGAATGCGTGCTGGGTGTCCTACAGTAACATTGCACTAATAAAGTAATTACAATTCAAAATATTGTTAGAGCGTGCTTATTTATGTAACCATAGTCCAGTTTGGAGCTAAATAAATTATTTTATCATTTAAATTAATGAACGAAAAAGTAATAGAATAAATACAGGGCTGATATTGACACAATTTAAAAAAACAAAAAAACAATTTGGCATTGTAAACAAGATTTTGTTGTAATAAATGAAACTTACTTTTAGCTGTCACTGACGCTATTTTGTAATATTTAATATAAAATGAATGTTACACAACAGATAATACATCAAGCTGACCTTGTTAAATGCCATCTTACTTGTCAGCAAACCAAAACCATTAAGCTGATATATCAATCAAGTATATTTAGAATGAATTAAATAATTTTAATGAAAAAAGGCAGAGATTTGCAAGCTTTAGCTTCCCAGATGGATTTCAAACTGATTCCTTGAGAATGAAATAATATAATGATACAATTTTCTCTCTTAAGCTGTCTTTAACACCCTTTGATGTAAAAAACAAAAAAACAAAAAAACAAAACCTGTACAAAGCTGTAGTGTTTATATGTGGACTTAAATTGATTATCAGCTGATATTAGATATTTCATGATTTATCAATATCAGCCAATAAATTTAAATTTAAAAAGTAAAGAGGAGATGAGTGAAGCTACCTTCAACCATGTTAAAAGGGTTGTTCAGCAGAGGGCACTCTAAAGCTTCCCTGTGGCAAAAAATATTTCAAACACCAAAAACACAACAGCCAGCTGACCCAAGCAAAGTGTAAACAAGTGAATAAACAACTTCAAATAAGAAATATTAGGGAAATCTCTGTAGGTTTTGTGTGTCTGCAGAAAGAAAAAAATGTATCAGCTGATTGGAATATACAATTTTTTAATTGCAAAAAATATTGGTGCCAGTATTGGTCTTAAAAAGCCTTTGTTGACTGAGCTCTAATATTTATTGAGAATACTGAGTTGCTTCCAAAAAACAAGAAAGAAAAAAATCTCGGATTGTAAGATTAAAAGATATGTGATGGCCTTTTATGACATAGTCATAATGTTTTGGATAGAAGAAAAGCGGCAATTGTCCGTTTTCTGAGATGAGTCAAGATGCATCACTAATATAAAGAAGCTTATTTTCATCTTATATATGATGAAAATAATATAGTTTTATTAAAAGTTATAAAAAAGTGCATTTTTCTCTCGCACACTGCACAATTTTCTGATAACGTCCATGGAGACCCTGTAAATGCAGTGTTTGTGCCTTGCAAACTATTATCGGTCAGATGTTACTCTGTCTGCACATCTTTGATTTAGATTAATTCTTTTGTTTTTTACTTTGTCACATGACCTCCACCCTTAATCTATGTTAATATAAACATTAATGGAGCTGCAATTCAGCAGTTTCCAGCACAGAGATAAGTAAATGTGTTTGGCTATGATCAATTCCTAGATGAGTTGTGTATATAAGTATATTTTAACACCAACATCTTTGATCCAACAGCACACTTGTCCTTTAAGTGACACCTTCATAATGGAAAGTGAGCCACTATTCAAGTCTATGATTTGCCAAAATGCTACTGTGTGCAAAGCCTTTGATCACTCTGTTAATGTTTTATAAGCCATCCGTTGTCATCTGCAGGCAGGACTATGGAAGCCCATTTCTGCCACAAAAAAAAAAGGATTCATAACTCGAAATTATTTTCTCAAAATTTCGACTTATTAACTCAAAATTTTGACTTATTAACTCAAAATTTTGACAAAAGTAACTCGAAATTTTGAATTAGCGCTGCCAATCAGTAATCTACGTGAATGACGTCATTTCCTTGTTACCCGGAAGCTGACGCCCTCAGGTACAAATGCTACAGCTAAGCTACCATTATTACATTCAGTCATGAATGCACAAATTGCTGAGTATTTTCAGCGTGGCTTCAAAAATGATGAAATCCTTGTGTTATTAGCTGAATCACATGGCGTTACTATCAGCAAACGTACTTGCGAAAGCGCCAATTTGTTGCGATCCGGTTTTGAGTGTGCGTTACTCTGCGCCATGTGCTTCCGGGTAACAAGAAAGTGACATCATTCACGTAGATTACTGATTGGCAGAGCTAACTCTAAGAAACTCTAAGAAAAGTAACTCGAAATTTGTTTCTCCAAATTTGGAGTTACGTTTCTTGAAATTTCGAGTTAATAAGTCGAAATTTCAAGAAAATAACTCGAAATTTCGAGTTATGGATACTTGTTTTTTGTTTTTTTTTTAGAGGCAGAAACAAGCTTCCATACAGGACAGACTGTTACAACCACTAATTAATATATCAGACAGGCAGGTGTGGTTGTGCATTCACATGTACACACAAACAAATGAACAAACTAACAGACAGTGAAATTTACATTACATTCGAGCACCAATACAAAAGCAGTCTTATTTATTTCCTACTTGTTGCTGTTTGTTTTGAGCTAAAAATAAATAACTGGTTTTGTACTGAAGTACTGTCATGTTAGAATAAGTTTTTAAGACATTTTTAGGACTAAACTCCCCAGTTTCTGCTTTTTTTTCTCTTTTTTTATTTGTCTCGATTTTTCTAACAGAACAAGTAAGTCGAAGACTCACCTTTGTGATTTAGTGTGTGATAATCTAAACACGCCATGTGAAAAATAGCGTCTAAATCATTTAAATGTCATACTCATCATTACTCAGAATATCATGGGAATTTAAATGTTATTCATACTCTATACTATGACACCAGGCTTGAGCCTAATGGGCATTTCTGGCCATTTTCTGACATTTTCCACACTCGTAAATTGTTGATTTACTTAGACGGTAATCATCATTTAACTTGTTAATGAAAATAATCGCCTTTTTATGCTTTATAAAACTCATCAAAGTATTCTGCTTTATAGAAATTAATTAACCACCACAACATTATGAGAGAGTTTTGGAAAACCGAGAAATGTTTTTTTTGCTTTTTTTGCTGATTTGTGACGATGGCTATACCTTTGCATGGTGATCTAGAAAGTTTGGGGCTTGGTTGATTTTTAAGCCAGCAATGTCTTTGTGAGAGAATATATATGAAAAAAAGACAATATGATGTGACCATTGGGGCCTTTTTCTAGAGAAGAGAAATCTAAGAGAAATTAAAGAACATACATGATAATTAAGCGACTGGAATCAGAGCAGTAAAAGTTAAAACATTAAAATACTGTTAGTATTTTAAAAAAAAAATTTAATTTTTTTTAACGTTCACATTTTTATTTAAAGTTCACATAATTTTTTATTGTTGACGCTGCAACTCAGACTTCATCTTTGAACTATAGTTTAAGAGTCAAGACCTAAATCAATTTAATCAAACGCCATTAATGCATCAAATTTTTTTCTGATGCCATTAGGATGTAAGAAATCTGGCAACCTTCACACTGTGTGTGCTCACACACAGCACAGGCATGCGGGAAAGTATATATTGTGTAGATTATTTTATACTGGGTATATAATACCCAGTATTTTCCTTTTTCTGATGGCATATGGGAGTGGTGTGCAGCACTAATAAGTTAGCAAGAAGGCAGATATATGATGCAACAACACTGGTAGTGATTACTTAAGCATATTTGAAACTGACTGATTGTACGGTGAGGTATTTAATCTCTTATAACTTAATATATAAGAATATGTTGCAGTTTCTTTTAAGATAACTGCTTGCTCTGAGTCTCTGGAGAACAATAAGTGCTTGTCATGACTGATGACGAATATTCCACCTAAAACCTGCTTGCTTTGCGGTTATCAAATTTTCCACTGCACTGCTGTCTGACAAAGGGTAGAGAAATCATTATGTAAACAGTGGTTTAATAGGATGAGAACAATTCTCAATTTGGCAATTGTTACATTAGATAATGGTTTCAGGCACTTTGGGAAAGTTGATAAAATGTCATTGGAAAGAACAAGGGGTGTGGCTCATAACACACACTTTCTGGTTTATAGACTTTTTCAGTGTTCAGATAGTGAGCTTTAAATTCACCTTTAAAACTGTGGCTGTACATCCGGGGTTGCCGACAGAAGCAGGATCATGTCTGGGAGAAAAATTCATGTTTAGCTCATGTTAGTGTTTAATTTTAAGAAAAGACTTGTGGAGATGTCAATATAGCATGTGCTGAAGTAGTTTAAACACATTTTGACAAGGAATGCCACCCTTTTTCTTTCTTACGAAAGTGGCTCCTCTCAGATATAGTTGCATGCAGAAATAATCCTCTTCTACCTCTTCCCTTGTCCTCTCTTTAGTGATGGCCTCTGCTGAGCAGCCGTGCTCCAGCTTCCACCAGCAGCACTGCGCATAAGGCAACACACCCACCTTTGCCCTCCTGCCCAGAAGTGAGAGAGACAACACCATGTACAGCGTGGAGGACCTTCTCATTTCGCACGGATATAAATTGCCGAAGAGCGACCCTCCGTCTGCCACGCCTTTTGACAAGCGCCCTGCTGATTGCCAGCGTGAACTTGTGGACAACAGGGCTGGCCGGGGGACGCTGAACGGGTATGAGGCAGACCGGGGGGCATCTATCACTGGCATCTATGGCAGCAGGCAGGCACTGGTGAAGGGCTACCCCAGCATAGACATTGAGAGTGGGGATAGGAACCAAAGGAGAAAAGAAATTGGCATCGGTATCCTAGGTGACACTCAGCCCTTGGGTGATTCTCTTGCTACAGATAGTGGGTGAGTGTTTTTTCCCTCTCTTTTGCAATCCCCCACGCCCTGCACCTTCCCTTTCCCTCTCTTTCCTCCCCCCACTTCTCACTGGGGCCTGTCAGTATTGCATGCAAAACTGAGTCTGCACTGCGCAGGGTTTTTTTCTCCTCCTCTTCCCTTCCTTCCAGAGCTGCAGAACACTGTGGCTGCAGCAGCACTACTGACATATCTTATGCTGGGATATGAGGAATTATGAAAGGTGCCTTTGCAGTCGTTTGAGCTGTGTACATGCCTGCACAGAGATATGGTTTGCATCTCTGTGGAGCCCACCCAGGCACTGGAATCATCTACACAGCCTCCACCCGGCAGGCAGATGTAAACAGCAGCACTAGACAGAGAGCAAACTGAGGAGGACTGAACATGCCTCAAGACAGGCGCGTAATCACTCCACTGTAAACACTGGCACACTGAATCACGCCCAGCACGTGCTCTGTGATGTAAGCATGTTGCTGGGCAAGTGTGCACAGCGCAGCTCCCCTCAGCCATACAGTAGCATATGCTGCTGAGGATGATCCATTGACTTTGCTGCTTAAATGAATGAGTACAATGACTAACAGGGATTTAGTGCACTGCAGATACTGGACGGAGGCTAATTGTTTATTCAGTCTTCTTTTTGTGATGTTACGTTTTAAAAACTATTACACATATTTATAATCAAGCATACATATATATATATATATATATATATATATATATATACAGATGATTCTTTGCATGAAACAGTTTTATAATTACACTGGGAAAATGTAGTTAATATGTTTTTCTGAAAGAACTGATGGTTACAATTGAATTTCAACAAGCATTTAAGCCTGCAGTCCCGCCCTCATTATGATCAGCTGTCATCAGGGCGTCTAAGAATGTGCATTTATGTGAGTGATGACCCGGGGAATATTTATTGATGACAATTAATTAAAAAAATCCTAAAATTCAGTGTAATGGAAAATCCCTCAGTGTACATAGACTTTTTTTTTTAGATGCGTTGTCATTAAATATATATATATATTTTCAGTAATATATTTTATCTAAAATAATTGTTTTAGCAGCGCAAGCATGCACTACGGCCTTATCCCAAACCCAAGAGGTGATTATGGGACCAGAACTAAATTTATCTCCAGGCAGCAGTGCTTTATCACACTGTACTGGAACCACTGTTGTGAACCTGCCAACAGTAACTCGTCACACAGTTGCCATTTCATATTAGTTTCATCAAGCGTTTTTAAAATTATACAAATGATTTTGGTTGGATGATTGTTGCTCATGCATACTTACATGAGAAACAATTAAAAAAGGCTCTTTTTCTAGTTTACTCTTTCACTTTGGGTGTAACACAGTAATGCAGGTTTAAAGTTTATTGTATTTTTGGTTTAAAGGTTTTTATATGTACTGTAGGCCAAAATGGTTCCTAAAGTATGTGATAAAATAATGAGAGGGACAGAGCCACTTTCTCTTTTGCGTCAGATTTTTTTTTTAAAAGAGTGGTATTTGCCATCCAGATGACCAGTTTCCAAGATAAGGTCAGCACAATTTAATATGCAGATCATATTGCAGTAGCATTGCAATTTTGTGGTGTCTTCAGGGGACTTTGGAGCTGCTGACTTAAGCATTTCTGGCTCATATGTGCTGGCCCTCTTTGATTAGGTTGTTTGGAACACCTATACTGGCAAAGCAAAAGCACATGTCTGGGACTGGCATGGGCATGCCTCTTTTAATATTTACCAGTGATCACATTTCAAGTGGATGAAATTGTTTTAATCTATTATCAAATAGACTGAGATAATACAATATTGTGAAATATGTTTTAGGTATTAACTCATTTCATTCTAGATAATTTTTTCTTTGTCTGTATGTCGCAGCCTGATGGTTCTGATGCTGTTTAGCCGCAACTCATTTAATAACCTCTGTAATGAAAGAAACACTGTTAAAAGATTAGATTGTTTTATTAACACTGAGATTTTTTCTTTTATAGGTTCTACGATGTTCCCAGTTTGACTTATTCAGAGCCGCTGAGCCATGACGATAGGGATGTTTCCTACTGGCGGAGGCGAGGTCAGGACTTCAGCATCCTTCTGGACTATGCTGATGGCAGGGAGCTGAGGGCCTCTGCTGGAGCGTGGAGGCCACAGGCCCTGATCACAGCAGAGGAATACAGGGCAGAGAGGCAAGCGCAGCAGCTATGGGAGGACATTTCCTGGCTAAGGGACCCAGATGCAGGACCTGGTCAGTTGAGAGTGACTGGGGAGAGGAAGTGCCAGAGCCTTGGAACAGAGGAATGGAGGCCTGCTGTGGGCCTGGGAAGGCAGCTGTCAGATGGGGATGGGGAACGGTGGGCTCAGGACCACTACTACCGACTGAGGACACCGGAGGGTTTTTTTCACCCTAGAACTAAAGCAAAGTCTCAGTCTCTTCCCAGAGTTTTGTCACCTGATGGACGTGACAGCAGAGAGCTCATTCCATCAAGGCCTAGTCTACCTGATAGACAGAGGATAAGCAGCACTGTCTTCTCTGGGCCATACAGTAGGTACATCTATGGCGGCGGCCGGGACCGGTGGGGTAGGAGTATTGGGCCAAGCAGCCATGTTGCACTTTTACCAAAGCCCAGGTTCAGCAGGCCTTTAAAGCCTCCATCATACGAGATTCACCAGCAGACTAGGGGTAGCGCAGAAATGCTTGCTATTGACCAGGGTGTCAAACAAAAAGACAGGCCTATCTATTATCCAAGGGGTGGGGACCTAAGACAAGACTATTTCGCACAACACTCTGCCATCACTGGAATGGAGCCTCCTGGCTACATCCCACCCCCATCTTATAGAAGAGCCCTACCCCCAAGAGCAGTTTCAGTTAACCGCAATGAAATGGCAAACTTAAGATGGAGGGCAGAAGCTTTGCAGATGCCAAGCTCAGATCCCGGAAGGTGGTTTTACAGACAGGCAAGTAGTTCCTGGCTGGAACCTTATGGAGAACGTAGTGCGTCCTATCGAAAACAGGTACTTTCTTCTGGACATGAAGAACAACCAGGTCATGCCCGACAGTTACCCACTGAAGACTCAAGAGCAAAACAAATCTCAGGAGGGCCTGGCGGAAATTCTCTAACAGATATAGACAAGATGCGCAACATCAACAAAGAGATTCCGTCCGCTAAGATTTTAGGACAATCTACACATGATAGTGCCTTTCCTCCCCAACAGGGGCCAGCTCTCAATACCGAAACCCGAAAAACAGCTCCCGGTGACAGCGACAGCAGTAATCGATGGCCCAACAGGGGAATAAAAAAAAGTGACAGTGTAGCTTCTGAGCAAACCCGTACTCCATTTTTACCTTCATCTATTCTGGGTAAACCACCGCCACCTCCATGTAAGCCGGCTGACCAGGGTGTATCTGAAACTGTGACAGAAGTAAAAAAGGCAGAGCAACCTGAACCACCGGAGAAAGACAAAACCAAGAATCTTAAAAAGAGGCTTAGTGAAACAATTTTTTGTTTGGTGTCTGTCCCTGTTACTCCGCAGCTCACTGGGACAATTCGTGATCAGAATAATAACAACGAGAAGTCGCCAGACCCAGCTGACAGTCCCAGTGGCAACAAAACTGGCCATTTAACAAACCAAAGTCTCCAAAGCACATCTTCAGCTGAAGCTGAGCTGCAAGCACTAACTGGTAGCATAGCGAGCAGCAAAACGAGCAGTAGAGCAAGCAGCAAAATGTTTAAAAAACTACCCTGTAGACCCCCTAAAATAAATCATTACAAGGAGCTGAAGCTGTCAGGATCCTGGCCTGCAAACCAGTATCGAGACCAGGAGACACAAACTAGCCCAGAGGCCCGAAAAGCTGGCCCTGAAAACAAGGAAGCACAACAAGACCCTGTTCCTCCTGGCACCGAAGTAACCCCTGATAGCGGCGGAGTAGTGGGCACTGCCTTCAGTTTTCCCATAAAGGGAGTGAAGAGCCTAAAACTTTCAAGCAACAGCGCCTTCTCCCTGACCTCCACCTTCTCCAACCAGCTGAACAAGAGCACAGCTCAGCAGCCAGCAGTACCACCCTCAGGAAATGTGGAGGAGATCAAACCAGCAGCAAACACAGGACAGGAGAAATTTGAACCGTTCCTTTTGAAACCGGCCACCCAGCGACCATGGGATGCAGTCAAAGAGCTGGAGACCATTAAAAAAGAAGTCCAGGATCAGCAGCAGCAACAGAGCAGCAAACAGCCCAGTGTTGACAAGTGCATTGAGGACCTTAACGAGGCCTACAAAGACATCTTGGAGCTAGGTACTGCCAGCAATAAAGTCCCAAACGGTTCCGTCCAGATCCCTGAGCGTATCAAAATCCGACTGACATCAGAACCTCTCAACAAGCCCAGCAGCCTTAGGCGCAGTGCAGTAAGCTGGTCTGTTGACCCAGAATACAGGGAAGTGAAGAGCGCCTTCTCCAGGCCTGCAACAAAGTCGGTAACCTTCAGCAAGCAGCTTAGGGAGGAGCTCCCGGTGCCACCTCGGGAGACGGGCTTCAGAGAATACAGGGTTGTTGCACATCTTTCACGCAGAAGGAGCAACGATGGCAGGACAGTAAAATTAGACCTGCCAGATGAACCTATCGAAACACCTCTTTGTGACTTTAGTCCAACAACGCACACCACAGCAGCTGAGGTGCCATGGGCAGACAGACAGCCCATGCAGGATGCCTCTACACTCACTAGTCCTCCAGATTATGAAGACATATGCCAGACTTTGCGTCAGTCTAGAGACCCATCGGATGCCAGTAAAGCATCCGCAGGCCATTCCAGACCTAATGACACAGAGACTCTTCAAGATCTCAGTGCTGAATCAGAGGAGGAGTGTCCTATTTGTAAACGAGAGCTTGAGAATCAGATGAGACAGGGTCCATTGCCTCCACTTCACGAGGAGAACAGCTCAGACAGCTCGGCCAATCAAAATGGCAGTCCGCCACAATGCACTGCATTAGAAAGTCCATCAGAAGATACAAAAATAGAGGAGCCAAATGCATCATGTTCAAATCAGTCAGGGTCTGAAGTGTGTGCTGAAAAAACAGAGCAGCATTCACTGACACAGGAGAATGTGGGAGAGGGTGAAAAAACAGACAATGCTCAGGCAGAAAACTTGGACAATTTATGCATAGTTAATCCTGCTGAGAGCATACCAGTGGATGGAGCCACAGAGGATCTCTCCTCTGCAGCCACAGTATTAGCAGCTGATCAGCCCACAGACCCTCAAGTCACAGAGGAACAGAGTGTTAATGAAACAGCAACTGAGGAAGAAAAATCAGAAGATAAAGAAGCCACTGCAGGAGAAACACCTGAAGGCAGTGCAGGCAAACAGACAGCTGAAGTGAAAACTGAGGAACAAGACAATGCAACGCCAGTTGACAAGCAGGAGCAAGAGAAGAAGCCATTTGCTCTCCCAGAGCATAGACTTGGTCTACGGACTCATCTAGGGCGAGACCTCCCTGGGTTACCTGAGTTTCCGCCTGATAGACTGCCACTTTCCGTTCCCCCGAACCTAGACCGCAGACTATCTCTTAGCTTGGAGGGTGAGCGGAGGAGCAAGGGCCCCTCACAGCGAATTGAAGCATTGCAGAACAAACTGGCTATTTCTCCAGGTCGGGTGGCAGTTGAGCGACTCGCCCGGATGAGAGATGTGGATGTTATGTATCGTGTGAGGCGCTTAAGCATCAGGAGTACTGACTCTGGGGAAGGGGAGACAGAGGCAGAAGGGGAGGGCAAGGAAGAACAAGCAGAGGAGTTCGACCCTGCTCCTCATATGGACAAAGACAACGAGCAAGAGGTCACCAACTCACAGGAGAGCCCCGAGACAGTGTTGCAAGATGAACAGGAGTCACCTCTCTCAGGTAATTATTGCCTATAATGGCATAGAAGTGAAGCCTGGTGGATGTAAAGATGATAAGAGAGTTTACTTTTTTTTTTATGCGGTTTTGTCATTTTTCCTGATTTTGGAGCTTGAAAACCTTTGCCCAATTAGACAATTTTGATTCATAAGATAATGGATTTTTGCTAAAAAAAAAATACTCCTTTGTGAATAAATATCTTTCTTCCTCATGTCCCAGAACCCCAATGATCCCAGCCGAGGGGAGACAGTGTAGAAAGACTGCGTCCACCATCTCCATCTGAGGTTTTTAGCTCCAACACTGTGACCTGGCTGCCTACTAGAATGCCTTCATCTCATCTTGACACTGAAATTGCCTTCTTGTCCGACAAGAGCATTGTGTACACCCTCACCCTCGGCGCTGCGTTGACTACTAAGAGTGCTGTTCCACTGCCAAAGGGAGGTGCCTCTTTAACTTGTGGGGCAACTTCCACCCAGAATCCCACCCCAGCCTTCCCAAACTGACTACCCACTACCCCATCCGTCCTCCATCCCCAACCCCATCCTCTTATAGGGTTTCTACTAGTTAGTCTTGTAGCGGCTTGTCCTTTCTATTCTATCCTCCCTATGCTTTTCTCATTGGCAGACATTATGCAATTCTGTCGTGCATACTAGAATTTCTGAAAATGTCCGCAGCGAAAACATTTTTCGCATACCTGAACGTTTCTGTTTGTTTACGGGCGAGTTGTTGAGGATTATGAATGTAAGTGTTTATGTTTAACCTAATGTAGACATAGAGGGGTTTATTGTCACAAACATGTTCTGTTGCATTTAAACTACACCAAAATAACCTGCGTATTTGATTGTGGTAAGGCGACAGCTGTTTTAGAACTGGACATCACTGTCTTTGGCTAAAGAACTGTTTTGATTTTCAGATGAGATAAATCAGCCTTTCTTTTTAAAAAAAACAAAAAACAACTGAATGACATTGTGCCCTTTCTCATTGCTTTTGTACACACTGCAACCATAACTCTGCAACCATAGCTCTTCAGTGAAGAGTGACTCTATACCACATGGCATGACAGATCAGTAAACTATAAGATAACGTTGGCCCTACTTTAGAGGGGGAGAGTTGCCTTTCTTAACTAGATGTGCGATTCCTGGTTGGATAAGGTGAAGTCTCTGATTAGTCCCCTGATCAAGTTCAATCTATAGCTCCCATTTCCAGGTAATTTCAGGAAGCAATAAGGGCACAGATTGAGTTTAAATGATGGTTTAAGCAACCTTGATAAACATTAAAGATCGATATAGGAATTTAGAACAACAACAAGAAAAAAAAAGATATGTAGAGCAATATTGTAAAAACAGGTCAGTGGTGTAGTGGAGCTACCTGTAGGAACCATTGTCAGGAGTCTTAAGTGTGAACGTGTCATTGAGATCATATTACAGGGAAATGGATTCGTGTCAGGGTATAGGGGCGCTTAACAGGGGGTGGGTGCTTTACTTCATGATATATATATAGATATAGATATATCTATTTATATATCTATGTTCATACATCTGTTTCGCAAAGAGGCGACATTTCACGGAATATTTATTTTTGTTATCATCAAATTGTTAATCAGTTTGCATAATGTACAAAATAAAGTATATTTTAAATATTTTAAGAGAAATTTTGTATTTAACCATGACATTTTATTTCTCCACACCTATAACAAGCTGAAAGTATCATACAAGTGTATAGTATCATATTGAGAGTATACATAATTTTCTAGTGCTTTAAAATCTTAACAGAGCGGTATAAGGAGGGATGGCCCTGTGGTGTGCCTTGATCACACGATTTTGGTTTGAGTGAGAAAAAGGGTTCATCACTGCAGGAGTTAAACCTGATGGAAACTTTCTGATTGTGCCATGATTTCCTGTTTGATAGTGCTCTTTCACATGCTAACAGAGTCAGTGTTGGACGCTCCTTGTGATATTTGACACATCAATCCATCTCAGCTGTACGTTGGTGGTCAGACATGGCCTGTGTCTTATTTCTGTCTTTGTATGTCTTCCAGTTTGAATCATGTATCGTTCTGTTGTTGGTTCCACAAAAAAAAAACATGTTTAGAAATAAAATTGGGAATTTTTTTCTTTTCCTTCCTTCCTCCCACCCTTCCTTCGTTTCCTCTTCCTTCTAACCGCCTCCTTTCTTCCTCCGTTTCTTTCATCTCACGGCGTGTTCATTTTGTGTAAATTGTTGTGCTGTCACTAACGCTTATTGCACTAAAAGATGCAATGTAGGATGCAATTTTAGGCTAAAAACCACATATCTGCATAATGTTTCTTTAAAATAAATTTTAAATTATGAGTCTAAAGCTAAACGATGATTGAAAAAATTGCCTTTTGGATTAAAACAAGTTTGCAGGTACGTGGGTTTTCTTTGTTTTCATAAAAGGACTGTTTCACTGGTGTAACATATTTAAGAGATCTGTAGGAATCCATCACTGTTTAACCATCAACTTACTGTTATGTAGCATTTTGCAGTTGTAGCATTTTTATCAACTCAGACCTTTGTCTTGGTATTTCAAACATTTCATGTAAATCCGAAATAATCATGTCGCCTTATGATGTGTGCATTACATTACACTCCAGGAAATGCCAAATATTAACGTACTAAGCACTGTTTCATACCTTAGGTTTGTACCAACAACTTACTGTTCTGCCATCCCTCTGGCTGGAGAGGTACAGTAGCATTGCGGATAGTTTCTGCTCTTCATGCTGTTTATCTGTAGGAACATTGAGTCCAAAACTGTGAACTTCAAACAATACAAAAAGCATAATTTATTATAAGTACGAGAGGAGGGTCAGTGCTTCAAGACAAGCTCATAGCATCACAGGGAGGACAAGCTGGCACGCCCATAATTACTAACACATCTCATTTTCAATTCATTCTGAAGACTAAAGGGCCTCGCCTTAGTCTGGTGTATAAACTGCCCCTGACGACATTTAAATAGCTATTTCAGTACATACGCCCCCCTCCCCCAATAATTGGCATGTCAGGTACACTTGAACATAGTGTCGTTTGACTTTTTGTACTGCAGGTTATGTGCAACATGAAGTAATTATGCACACTTGTAATATTTTCTATTTTCATATGAGATTTAAGTGCTTTTTGTACTCACTGACATCTTTTTTTTCTTCCTTGCATGAAATGCAAGAGAGAGGAGGAAAAAAAAATGTTTTTCATAAAGTATATTTGCATTTGGTACTCCAATAGTAAAACCAGTGGGCAAAACATTATGTTTCATAATTTAATTTACAAAACTATGCCAAGTATTTAAAAGCTATTTTTAGAGTAAATCAAAAGAGAACTCATTCATTTTTTTTCTTTTAAGACATGCCTTTATCTTTGTATCTATAAATATGAGCATAATCCATAGTCATATGATTGTGCTACTGTTGTATGATACTGCAGTCTGATTCATAAATAAACTCTTTGCATGAAAATGGTGTTTGTGACAGTTGCTGTTGTCTGTATGTATGCAATTTTTATTTTTTTATTTTTTTTTAGAAATGTGCACTTATATCACATATGCGCCAGGACATGAGCAAAGATAATAAGGGGTGCATATGTATGAAATACAATATATGATAAAGTCTTTTATATTACAAACGAAACCAGTTATGTATATAAAAGCAGAACCAGTTACAGTTACCATTACTCTGATATCATGTTGGTTTTTGGAAAAAGTTTTTACATTGGTGGCCCCTTTACAGGTTCATCTCTGGAGCTAAATTATACATCCTAAAAGTGATCTGAGAAAATGAAAATTGTGTGTTGGTGATGCTGCCATACAGGCTTTGTATACATTGTTTTAGAGCTTGCACATGAGGCATCTGATCTCAGCTGCTGACACTGTCCCGCAATATGGAAAACGAGAGAAAATCAGCACAAGTAACTGGGCTCCTCGAGTGGGTAAGTCATTATTATGGAAATGTTTCATTTTCAAAGAGCTGACTTTTATTCTTTGAGCAATGCTAAGGCAATGGAAAGCAAGCATACGTGTATAAGCACAAATATGCGAGTGTTTTCACACATGTTCACTTGTGTGCTGGCAATTTCAGCCCAATTACCGTGCCAGACTGTCACACTGAGCTCCACTTGCTGGATCAAAGCGTTGGCAAAGACAATACTTGAGCTGAACCTTGTAAAAACCTCCCAGCATGCTCTCTGGGAGACTTGGAGGGCATCCATCCTCTTCAATTTCCTCTGTGTGCCATCTTTTTTTTTCTAAGATGAGAGTGAAAAGTCAGATTACTGCTTCCTCTTATATGATACTTTATTGATCCCAATATAGGTAGGCTGTCTTTTCATTACGCTGTGGGTGTTTTTTGTTCATGGGCACAGCATACAAAGGCACTGCAGCGTTGTTTCTTAAGCTACATGCAGCTCATGACAGTTACCATATTTGGAGTGCAAGCTAAATTACAAGGATCAGCTGCGACATTAAAAACACTGACAGATGAAAGTGTTTTGACACCAGGAGGGTGACCTCCACTATATTAGCCAGTATAATGGTTACTTACACAGTATAGCTGTATAGTATTTTTTATATACTTTACTCTGGATGTGGCCATAATTAATAAACCAGTAAAAGGTTTTATTTCAGTCCTGTTTCACACTTTCAAGAGTTCCCAGTCTTTAATGGTAAAATGCCATAGTTAGTGTTATTTACAGAAAGCTAATTAAAGTTTAGTTAGCTTTCTCTGGACATTTAAACTGGAATTTTGGACTTTTTTGAGAAAAGGTTTGTCGTGGTCTTACCTTTGTTTCTTACTATGACTCTGAACATTTTCTCTGGTGCTCGTTTTTAACTGAAAGTTGTCTCAAAGACTGAGGTGGTCCTTTTCCCAGTGTTGAACTTTCAAAATGGCCGCCTGTAACCTTGATAAGAGCTAGCTCAGGTAAATATATAAAAAAAATTACACCTGCACGCCTTCAGTTAAACGAAACTGTTGATTGTTGTACATTAGGGGCTAATACACTGCTACTTAATTAAATTATAAAGTCTGTTCTGCTAGAATAGTGTTTCCTTATATAGTTATATGATGCTAATTCAGTAGCTAAAATATTTTGACTGCTACTGTGCAGTGCTATCTCTACCTTTATTATTAAGAGCCTAGAAAAACAATAGGTCACTAATATATACTCTATAATACTAATATATATATATATATATATATATATATATATATATATATATTGTAACGATGGTTAAGTGTTACTGGACAGTGACATGTTGGTTTTCTCTGCACACTGTTGTTGTTCCTTTAAGATTCATGTTTGGTTGGGCTGCAGGAAGTAGTGAGGGTGGTGTACAGGAAGGGGTGGGGGACCTGGTTGTTCTGTGTGTGTGCCAGGCTGAAGAGAGGTGTAGTTCGAGAGCGCTTCCCCCTGAGTTAACAACCCGCTGGCTTATGTGCCGAATAAACGGACAAACTGAGACCCCAACCGTCTGGTTCTTGTGAACGTTACATTGGTGTCAGAAGTGAAGAAAGAAAAAAGAACCCCAGAACGCCCGAGACCCTGTTGCCGGCGACGCTTGCCGTTACGAGACGAGGATGTTGCCGGGCAGGATTAAGAAGGAGACGGAGGAGAGGGAGGTTCATCCGCGCTCGCCCGCCCATGGAGTGAGGGAAACGGCGCTGCGGCTGTCTGCAGAGGCTGGATTTTCTCCAGGTTTGACTAGGCTCGGGAACTGTTCGCACAGCGGCCGCGATTCCGGCGGGAAGGAGTCGACCTCGCTTGGCGCGCCGTCACGTGATGTAAACAAACATGGCGGCGCCCAGCAAGCTGCAGCGAATATAAAAACGCCTAAGTTCAGCGGCAAGACGCCATGGGAAGTGTTTATCGCACAGTTCGAGCTGTTAGCTGTTGCAGCTGGCTGGTCTGAGGAACATAAAGCTCTCCAATTGGCTTTGTGCCTGTGTGAGGATGCAGCTGCATGCCTGCTGCTGCTGACCGAGGAGCAGAGGGGAGATTATAATGCTCTGGTCGGAGCACTTCAGAGGCGCTTCGGGCAGTATAACCAACCAGTGCTGCTGAGGTCGGAGTTCCACAACAGACGCAGATTGCCAGGTGAGCCCCTCCGCATTTTGGCCCATGAAGTCGAGTGCCTTTGCCGGAGGGCGTATGACAGCATGCCACCATCAGTGCAGGCGGAGTTAGCTCGGGACCAGTTCCTGCAGGCCCTGAGCCCTAAAGAGCTCCGCATGCAAACTCAGCTTGCTCGGCCGGCCACACTCAGTGCAGCCCTGGAGCTAGCGTTGGAGAGGGAGATGCTTGCAGGATCCTCTGGGGGCGCTGACGACGCACACGTGGTGAGGGCTGTGTCAGCACCTGTGGAACAGATGGAGACGCCAGCGGGCCTGTGCAGTTTGGTGCAGACAGCTTCGCTGCAGTCGCCTTCCCCTCGGGCTGGCCCACACCGCCGACCTCAGAGCTGCTGGGGATGTGGACAAGTCGGACACCTCATCAGGCAGTGCCCCAAGCTTGCAGCGGTTCAGGGAAACGCCCACGGGCCCGTGTAGGCGGGAGTACACGGGCCTGGGAGAACGACATCCCCACACCACCGCCACCTCCACCCGGTGCGGCCATCACTGTGGGCTGGACCCAGGTTGGCGGCTTTTGCCATGTTCCAGTGACGATTGCGGGGGTGTCCTGTACGGCCCTGCTGGACACGGGATCCAATGCAACGCTGGTCCGACCCGATATTGTCCCAACCGGAGCTGCTGTACAACCGACTAACGTGCAACTTAAGACTGTGACCGGTGATCTGGCCCCAATGAGAGGGAAGGGAGTGTTCCAGTTCAAGGTGGGGGACCTCGGTGTGTCTTATGCTGCCTGGGTGGCTGACGTGCAGGACGCCTGCATCCTTGGGCTGGATTTTTTACGAGCCATTGGTGGTGTACTGGACTTAGGCAAAGGCCTCCTCGTACTCCCTGATGGGAAGAAGGTGCCGCTTATTCCTCCCCCGGTCTGCACAGCATCTGCCGCGGCGTCCACCTCCACCGCAGAGACCCCTGCAGACCCGCCAGCAGAACAGCGAGCGGAGGAGGAGGAGGAGAGGCTCTCAGCAGTGAGGAGTATCTGGTCAAAGAACTGTGAGGGGCTGACTCCACAGCAGCAAGAGAGTCTATGGCAGGTACTAAAAGAGTTTAGTGACATTTTTGCCCTGAAAGAAAGTGATGTTGGCTTGACACACTTGGTAGAGCACGTCATTGAGACCGGGGATGCCCAGCCTATTAAAGTGCGCCCCCGCCGCCTGCCCCTGGCTCATCAGGAGGCTGCAGACAGGGAGCTGTGTGAAATGATGAAGGCGGGCATCATAGAACCATCTGATAGCCCGTGGGCCTCCGCGGTGGTGATGGTGCCTAAGAAAAAAAGTCCTAGGATGCGTTTCTGTGTGGACTACAGACCACTCAACAAAGTGACGAAGAAAGACTCTTACCCCCTTCCCAGGATTGATGAGTCCCTCGACTTAGTAGCCGGGTCCTCCTGGTTTTCCACCCTGGACCTGCGGAGTGGCTACTGGCAGGTGCCACTGTCCCCGGAATCCAGACCGAAGACAGCCTTCTGCACTAACAGGGGACTATGGCAGTTCAAAGTCCTGAGTTTTGGCCTTTGCAACGCTCCTGCGACCTTCGAGAGGCTCATGGACAGTGTGCTGGCTGGCGTCCCACGGCAACGGTGCCTGGTTTACCTGGATGATCTTCTAGTGCACGGGAGCTCCTTTGATGCTGCCCTGGATGCCCTGAGACAAGTGTTGGAGAGGGTGGCGGCTGCAGGCCTGAAGCTGCATCCCGACAAGTGCCACTTCATGAGGAGGGAGGTGGAGTTTCTGGGCCACAAGCTGGGTCGTGAGGGCATCAGCACTTTGGAGGAAAAAATTCACACCATTACCGAGTGGCCCACACCAGCAGACCAGAAACAGCTCAAAAGCTTCCTAGGACTGGCGTCTTATTACAGGAGGTTTGTGAAGGGCTTTTCCTCCATAGCTGCACCACTCTTCCACCTGCTGCAGAAGGACCGTGACTTCATCTGGACCCAGGACTGTCAGCAGGCGTTCGACACCCTCCGCAGATCGCTGACAGAGTCCCCAGTCCTTGCCCCCCCTGACCCCGCCCTGCCTTTTGTCCTGGACACTGACGCAAGTAATGTGGGGCTGGGAGCGGTGTTGTCGCAGGTTGGACCGGAAGGGGAGAAGGTGGTGGCGTACTTCAGCCGGGTCCTGAACAGGAGCGAGCGGCGCTACTGTGTCACACGACGAGAGCTGTTGGCTGTGGTGGCGGGGGTGAGACACTTTAAATACTACCTGTGCGGCACAGC